AAATACGAGTGGATTGGAGGTGGAATAGAGAGGTAAAGCGGTAATTGAGGCTTGATTTTGGCTGTGGAATCGAGGTAAGTGTTGTGGTTAACCTTAGCTAGAGGGATTAGGTGTTATTGCCTTATTTGCTACTTGTTTAGTTGTTGAATACGACGTATAGGTGAGACGACGAGTATCTATACGTTAGCGTCGGATCATAGCATACGAGTGAACCTTATACTTGTGACTATTGTATTTCTTTATACGTACTGTTCATGCTTAAAATGGTTATTCATCATGTTAAACAAGTCTTATTATGTTTTTCTGGTATTGGATATTTGTTGAGTATTGACTCAAGTTGAGAATCATATTGTGAAGATAAATGTTGAAACGGGGTTGTTTATTGATAATTCCCTTGTTGGATTGATATTGTTTCTGCCGTTTGGGTGAGGAAGAGTGTAAAGCAAAAAGGGTGATGTCGTGCAATGTTTTGTGAGTGAGTGATAAAGCACGAAGGGTGATGTCGTGCCATATTCTATGAGTGTTAATGCACGAAGGGTGATGTCGTGCCATGATTATGAGAGAGATAATGCACGAAGGGTGATACCGTGCCATTTCTGTTGTTTCTTATGGCGAGCACGAAGGGTGAGGCCGTGCACGTGATTGTTGTGTTATTACTTTCGTTGGTTCCAAGTATGATATATTCATTGTGTTTCTGTACTGTACTATTTTCAGAATATTCATAGTCCCCCAACATGTTTTTCCCCCTTCCGTCTTTATTTGTTAAATTTTCGTTATTGTTATTTTCTCGTATATGATTTAACTGCACATGTTTATATTTTTTGTCGTGTCCTAACCTCGTCACTACTTCGCCGAGTTTAGGCTCGGCACTTACCAATACATGGGGTCGGTTGCACTGATACAGAACTCTGCACTTTCTGTGCAGATTCCGGTACTGGACCACACTAATCAGAGTTTGGGTTGCTGCCTTCAGTCCACAGAAGACCCAAGATAGATCTGTCGGTGTTCGCAGACTCTGGTGTCCCCTTCCCTCTATCTTAGATTTTCTGTCTCTTTTCATTTCTAGAACAAATGTATTTCTTTTAAACCAGTGTTTGTAGAAAATTCTTAGAAGTTTGTGGATTGTGATACCAGATCTTTTGAGTAGTTATGTATTAGTGTTTCAAATTGTTATAAAATTTCCGCACTTCATATATGTTTAGTTTAAATTAATGTTAATACTGTTTTGGTTAATAATTAATGTGCTAGAACTGTATCTGTTGGCTTGCCTAGCATTCTAAGAGTTAGGCGCCATCACAATCTTGATGGTGGGAAATCCGGATCGTGACAATTTTAAAGTTATTATAAATTTTTTATTGGATATAATCCTATTAATTTATGATCCACGCGTTAATTATTGATATAAACTCCATGTTGCTTAGTATTTTGTATGTTCATATGTAACTTTATTCATATATTTGATATTTTCTTATATTGTTCTCATGCCAATTTTGGTTGTATAAATTCTTTTGAGATGAGAATAAGCAGAAGAATCAAAAGAAGGGAATAAAATAGGATTGAATTGGTGAGAATAATCCTAAATTTTTTAGATGACCAAATTCATTTATCTTATTCAAAAACTGTAATTCTCCATTTTTTTTCTAAACATTTCTCCTTTGAAATTACATTAATTGAAAATATAATACAAGGTTAGTATATATGAAAATCACAAATATATCAATATTAAATTGATAAGAAAAAAAATACAAAATCGTGATGAAGCATCTGTAATTAAAAATATTGTTCTTGCACATATATTATTTACTTGACGCGAGGAACACGTGCAACATACGTATACTATATATATATTAGTCTCTCGGCACATGTATACCGAGTTATGTAGAAACTTTTGAGTATTGAAAACTCAAATCTTTAGGTTTCTTAGAAAAACAAAGAACTCGTCCAATTATTTTCCAAAAGAGCATGTACAATTTGACTACGCTATAATTCTTTCATCATTCTTAGTTAACTCGAAAATTTGATTAAATGGAATAATGAACTCTTTCATGTTTAAGTGACTAAATTTATTTAGCACTTTCTCAATGTAATAAAATTGACTCAATACATATAACTCTAATATTTCTCTTAATCTTAATACTAATATGGTAGATATCAATTTTCCAAGATCCTTTCCTTCAAAGGTGCAAGGTAGAAACCTCTTTGTTTTTGTCATGTCATTATATCATTGCTTACGATCAACACATCGACAAAATAACACAAAATAATCACATGTTCACTCAGAACATGTGAGAGTTGAAGAAATACAAATTTAATATTTCAAATTCTTCAAATTATATTAAATATTAAGTCTGATATTGCCTTTTAATTTAAAATTAAACACCGTAACACTTTGATTATTTCAAGAGACGTTTTAAAAATTTGAAATTAAACACCGTAACACTTTGATTATTTCAAGTGACGTTTTAAAAATTTGAAATTAAACACCGTAACACTTTGATTATTTCAAGTGACGTTTTAAAAATTATAGATCAAACCTAACTCACTATTTCATTTCATCGTCAAGTTAAACCACTGGAATGCTACACACACATTTACAAAGACACTACTTTCATAGAATATCTTTACTCTGTAATTTAATGAATTAAAAATGATACTAAGATAAATATTATTTTGTTAAGAATAGAAGTTGTTTAAATGAAGAAATCATCGTTCAACAATTAGAGGTATGATTTATGAATAGTTAGGGAGCCAAAAATTTAAAAATACGGGTGCCCCACTATCTTTAGCATAAAAACTATCATCGGCTACATATATTTGAATGGTTGCTCCGGTTTTGAGTTAATCCGGCTTGATTCGGAGATAGAAAATAAAGATCATAGAACCAAAATTAATTACGATCTTCGGTTAAGATCAGAAGTATCCTCTTTATTTGCGAAATGTATTTATTTGTTAATACTGTTAGCAATCTTGTAAAATAATGTAATAGTTTTTTCCTACTTTTTTTTTATCATCTACTACAGTACTATAATCTAAAAATTCGATAAATACAAAGGAAGGCTAATACAATTTTAAGCAAATTTTCACATGTAAAGAAAAGTTTCTATCCCAATTCTCAAGAATTAGTAATGATTTCTCTAAGAACACATGTTCATTGTTAGTTGGAACCATTTCACATAATTGAATGCACTTGTAATAATATTAATTCATAATTACAATTAAAATTCAATTCAATTTTAAATCAATCAATTTCTATTGAGGAACTTATATCATTAAATTTTACAAATTGTCATGTAACTATAATTTTTTTTCACTAAATTTATATAACTTTATTTCTTCACACAATAATCATAAAACTTTTACTGACTCACATAAAAAATAGTGACCAAAAAATACAACTATTCAGTAGTATTTTCTTATTTCACGATTTTTGTTTTTTTACTTTTTATCTATTAAATAATAATTCAATTAAAATAGGAATGATACAACCCGACCCTACCTAATACCCATATACATAAATTAGAATAATACTAAAAGTGGACCATTCAAAATAGTATAATTCTATTTTTAATTTTATTTTTTCAAGATTTTCGTTCTAATCGATAGCATTTTATTTCAAGTGCTCTCTAGTTATACATATTTTTTTTGTCAGAGTCTCGTGCATACCAAACTAAGTTAATTTTTTATGTGAAAAATATTCACTTTTATTATTATTTTGATTTAATGTATGTATATGGGTATTGGGTCAGGTTGAGTTGGGTCATTACTATTTTAAGGGTAAATACTAAATCGACCGATCAGCCGAAACTAATATATACATATACATATATATATATATATATATATATATAATTTATCAGACTAAAAATAAGAAATAAAAAATATGGTGTAAGAAAATACTACCGAAAAATGTATTTTCCGGTCACTACGGTTTTTGTGTGAGTTAGTGAATTTTATGATTGTGCGAGAAAATAAAGTTATATGATTTTGGTGAATAAAAAATCATAAGTTATCTGACCATTTGTGAAATTTTACTCCATGTGGGTAGTTTCATTTTCATTCCCCTTTTGAAATTTTGTAAAAAAATGGTATTAAATGATTGGCCTTTAATATACAGAAATTGTTGTAGACGATCATATTGATGTTCGTTATGCTGATAAGAATAAACATGACTCAATGGCAAACAGACATGTCACATGCAGCATCAAATATGTAACATCATTCACCTTGCATGTTCTTGCCGCTAAGTAGAACTAACATAGTGATGGAGTAAAGCAGAAACTTACATTGAGTAAAAGTTTGCATTCAGTAAAGGCATCAAATGAAATCAGGAAGGGTAGAACAAAACCCAGCCTTTTTCACACAACTAAATAGCATTGAAATCTCTCTGTGTATTCATTTGTTTGAAGTTTATGTCACACCTCCTTTTTTTCCAAAAGGGGTATTTTTTTTTTAGAGTTTTTCCAATTTAAGTGACATTAATCGAAATGGGATTATTTTATTTATTTCAGAGTCGCTACTTGGAATAATTTATGATGTTTCAAGTCACTGATTTATTTTAAATCCCAGAGGAAAATTGACTCTATTTTTGGTTTGCGAACACAGAAGACCGGGTAAGGAATTCTGTTAACCCGGAAAAAGGTGTGAGACCTTCTCGAGTTTCATGGTTTTAGCAAGGTCGTTCAACTATTAATAATTGGCCTAATTATCTGATTTATTACATGTTTTAAACCTATTGTGCATTTTTAACTTTTATAACCGCTTGTATTTATTTATGGAGTTATTTCTAAAACAAGTCACGATTGTCGTACACTTGTCATTTTGGAACACATTGCAGACCACGCTACATGAAATGCACCCGCGATTTACAACATATCTAGCACACTCGAATTGGGGATTATGTATCGTGACCATGCCACGAAAACCGTACCCATAGCCACGATGATTTATTAATCGCGCCTAAAGCAAGCTACAATGTTTATATAAGTTATTTCCTAACTTTGTGATTATTGAAAGGCCCAGAATTTATGGAATCTATCTGTTGTTAGAGTTATAGGTACAAGAATCTTAAAGAATTTACAATCGTAATAGTCGAAGTGCCCAGAAATGATAACATGATCCAATTAATTAGACATGGATTCTGATTTCAACCTTAAGTGATAGTAGGAAACCACATCCAACAGGCTTGAATATTTTTCTCTTAATTAACTGATTCAAACATGGAGATGGAAAAACAAGCATAAGACATCTCATAGACTTAACGTCTAAAACCTTAGACTTGTCAATGGACCCTGCTAGTGGAAAAGAGTCTGAACCAAAACCTTGCTCCATTTTAACTGAAATCAATAGCCACAACAAATAAAGAACACAGCTTTCACTTGAATTAATAACCCAAATATAAAACTCTGCACTTTTTTCAATTACCACTTAGATCCACGCACAATCTCCAATTACTGGGCAAATTTGGGAAAACAATCCTTGAAGCACACAGAGAGCTTTTGAAGAAAAATTGCGTTTAGTAACATTCCACTCATTGTGTGAAATTAAATCTAACAAATAAATTCATATAAGAGCAACAAACGAACTAAACAACAACAATGATTCCATAACAAAACAGATCTAAGAACAATTTTGTGGAGAACATACCTCGTTGCACAAAGTTCAAATTTAGAAGAGAAGAAAGCCAAATAAAGCTAGAATCAGCGGGTTTGAAGCTCAGCAACGAATTCAAGTAACACAGCAGCAGAAATAAGATGATTCCAGTCCGATTAAACCTTAAAAGTTTCAAAAAAAAGTAGTGCAAAACCAGCAAAAATTGAAGTGGCTACCCAGATCCCTTTCACTCCTCTTGTTTGAAGCTTTTTTGCGAGTTAGATCTCTGTCTTTTCTAGTCTTTGTTTTTTTAATGTTCGAAATTTTTGCTTCTAATCAGTGAAAGTGTACGGGGCGGAGATGGGGTGGTGCGGCTGGAGCTTAAAGCTTCTCTTCTTCTCTCGCTAGTACTGCCATTTTCTTAGCAGCTGCTACGTTTTTTCAAGGGTGGGGGTCCGTTTGTGTGAAGATGAGAGTCCGTTTTTTCTTCAGCGAGAGAGAGTAGAAGTTTTTGAAGCAGCCATTTTTAGCTGAAAATCGGTTTCCAAAAATGGGGGGTCTGGTTTTGAGAGAGATCAAGAGGGAGCCCAGGGAGGGGTGCGCCGTCGCTGGCCTTTTTAAGAGAACGGGG